GGAGCACATGGAACCTCTTTCCCCTGCCTGGACAATCAGCAGCGCTGACACTACCATGTGGCCCGACAGGGGCTGCTCTTCCATGTGCTGTGCACTGCGGGGGAGCAGAGTCCGAGCAGCATCTGACAGTAAGGGGAAGAATGGAAGAAGGAAAGAGGCAGAGACTGTGGGGAGCAGAGAGGAAGAGGCAGAAATTTTGGGGAGTGGGGGGAAGAGGTAGAGACTGGGGGGTGGGGTGCCAGTGGTGGGGGGAGGAAGCCTGGAGGGGGATGTGGGAGGGCAGAAAGCAAGGAGGCAACCTGACCCCCTCAGCCACTGCTTTCCCTCCTGTAGTGGGGGTGGGGGGGAAAGGGGGTGGCAGGTTTAAGACGACCCTATGATAATTAGATTCTATATCTGGGAAATAATAGTAAACTTATACATTTTCAATATATAGAATCTAATCACTGGGGTGGGGTGGGGGGTCATCTTAAACTCAGGGTCTCTTAGATTTGGTAATTAAAAAGTAATTGTGCCAAATCTGAAAACCAAATCCAGTAATTCATTAGAGTCCTCCTTTAAGGGCAACGGCAACACAACTAGACCTGTGGAGTCATTATTGGCGCTTCCATAAGGAATCATCATGATCTTATCTTTGCAGTCCTCTTTTGTAACATACCTTTTCCAGTTCTGTCTTGTGTACTGGTGAGCTAGATGATGGTCCATCTGAGTCTATAGTTCCTGTACAGTTGTTGCAAACTTCTTTTATTACCTTAAAAGAAATGCAAAATGGCTTCGTTGACAAACAAATAAAAAAAGAAAGTTATATTTCACTGGAAAAGCGGCTTTATTCAAGATGAATCATATGAGTATTTGCTCTCCTTATGGTTAAAATAGCAGCCGTGTGGAAATCATTCTCTTTATCCGTAGGCAATGTGTTGGGCAGGCTGCCACTGCATGAGCTTCTCCACATTGCCTCACTAAGTTATTTCATGAATGACCTGGAGGAGCCATAATGTCTAGAGGTGAAAGGTTTCAGTTTCTAGACTAGCTAAGCTCCAAGTCTCTCCTGAATAAAAAAAACTGTCAGAACTGCTGATTTCTGTGTGGTAGTTTTGCAACGTAAACTCAGCTGACACCGCCAAATTAATTTCATTATGACTAAAAAATGGGATTAGATCCAAGGTCCCCAAAGCCAAAGGACAACACTTCTGCCTAATACACTACCCAGCTGCTCCTTTTCTTAATGAAGAAATAATGATGTGCTGGCCAAATTACTGATCTCTCTCTGATACTGTTGAGTGTGTGGTTAATAGTTTTTCATATTAATTGTATAACATTTTACCAGTGACATTGACAATGAAGCAATGAACCATGTGAATTTAAATATATTCTATGAAATGTGAATTATGGTATGTCTTTGAAATATTGAAGAAAACCCAACAGATTACAATTTACGGAAGGAGATACTTTTTCATAAATCTGATGGTCTCTATGAAGGGATGAGGTTTTTTATATCCTGTTTCCACTAGAGACACTGTTTGGTTTTAGTTCCTAGGTGGGGTTGCCTACCATACTTCAGCCTGTGGTATCTGGTGCTGATAGGCACACTACTTGTGGAGTATAAAGCAAGGGCTGTTCTAGAGTTACATCAAGAAAAACCACTATGTAAAAGCACCTTCTTAATTAACGGATCTACTCCCTGCATGTCCTCAAAGTCACACAGCTAAAAATATGTGGTTTTACTGCCCTTTGCACCATTAGCACAGAAGACCCAACTCAGCTGAGAAAGAACAGGGTTTTCTATTCTGCCTGAGACCTGTGAACCAAGTTCCAATTCTAGGGCAAATTTTACCATTACTTGGGCTTGTGACCTCACTCATTTTTTAGCAGCACTTGGTCCATAGAACATTCACTCCCATAGGAAGTCCTTAAACAGGAACACTAACTTAACTTTTAGGTCCCAGTTTCTTCTGGCTGACTTAGAAATGTTTCTTTGTAAAGAGAGCAAATCCGATATGGAAACCATTAAGACACAACAAAGATGGCACTGAATAATGTAATTTTGTAACTCTATTTTAAGAGTTGACCTCATAGTGATATAGTACTATTGTTGTGCCATCTGAGCACGTCACAATTTAAAAGAATTTATCCATGAGACATCCCCAAGAGGAAAGATAGTACCAGCAACCCCATTTTACCAAAGAGGAAGTAAGGATCATAACAATTAAGTGACTCACTCCAATCTCATAGAAACTGTGCTAAAAAGCACCGAAATAGACCCAGGCTTCCACAGTCTCATATTTGGATCTTGAACAATGTCTCATGCCGGGGGCCCATCTCAGAGACAGTTGCTAGACTATACATTAGCCATGCAGTCTCCATCTTGAAGTCTGGCTTCAACTCTTCCTCTCTCTCTTTTTAATCATGTTTTGTGAACACCACTTATCAATAACTTTGGCAGTAAGAACAGGGATGGATATAACTTACTCAGATTTTTTCCTTTCTGCTTTTTGAATACTCATTCCAATTAAATTTTTTCCACAGTATTTCACTCTTAGATGACCGTATGTTTTCCGAGTTCACAAAACTTACTTTAGGAGTTTTGTCACAGAAAATCTTATCCCAGATATATCTACTGGTAATTTTTTTTTTAAAAAGAAAGATCATCATGTGGGGAAATGTACCACTTACACATTTAGGTAAGGTCAATCCTGCTTCCCCTGAAAAAGAATTTATCATATATTTTTGAGGGATTTTTTCCCCTCTTTGCTTCAGTTCAGTGGAAATGCATTTGTGTTTTATTTGTAAGAAATTTGACTACTCGGTTTCTGGGAACATTTATTCCTGTCTCCTGCATGACCCTGATACAATGGCTCATGTTTTCAGCATCTGCTCACACCACACAGTTAGTTAATTTTGGCAGAGGCAAAGAGTAATGGAAGTTACAGACAGAACAGAGGGAAATGATTTGGCAGCAAACACAGAGTACTATGTGCAAAGTCATGCACTCGAGTAAATACTGTTCTTGTCATACCTCACATATTTAAGAAAAAGCTTTCCTTGTGTGTTTTCTTGAGTTGTAATTAAATTTTGATTTAAAAAAATGGCACACCATCAAGTGGCTTTCATGTCTGAATCTGAAGCAAAGGCACATTCAAGAATTCATTTATAGGAATATTTTTGGTACCAGTGATTCACTGGCTAGTGCATCAATCCCTGTGTGCAAAATTAATGTTTGATATACATATAGTGTGAAATTGTACTTAAATGCCTCCATGAGACAAAATATGCTCCAGTATGGAATAAGTGTGCCCTCTATAATTAAGTTTGCACAGACTTGTCATTATAATGCTGATCTCACATGCTCATAGTTCTTACTCAAAACTCTGAGTATAAAACAGTCCATGTGTGCTGCCAGCTCACATGATTTTATTGGAAGGTTCCTAGAATGCGTCAGTATTCTTACAGTCCCAGCTCCTGGAGTCATATGAATGCATGAGAATCTCAGCATGGACTGGAAAAAAACCCAGTAATACTTCTAGTCAGACCACAAGTCCATCATATAGCCCAGTATCCTGCACCTCACAGTGGCAGAAAACAGATGCCAAGGGGGAAGAGTATTTATGTGGGGCCTATGCAGACTGATCTGTCCCCTCCTCCTCTTTCCTTACTGCTTCTAGTATTTAGAGACCTAAGAAGTCCTAATTTGGAGGCTGCAGCCCTTAATCATGCTTAATGATAGACCTTTTCTCCATTAAAATGCTGAATCTTCTTTTGAACTTAAATTGTCAACCTCTACATCTTGTGGCAATGAGTTCCACAAGGTACTTACATGCTGAATGAAAAAAAACTTCCCTTGTGTGTCTATTAGGTCTAGCATTGTGAAAGATGGCACATGGTAAATCTCTATTTACTTCCTCTATGCCACACACCACTTTAGAGAGCACTGTCAAGTACCTCTTCAATTGTCTTTTCTTTGATCCTTTTCTCTCAACTTTTTTAAACTCAAGGCACTTCTCATAAGGCTCACAGCCTTCCTCAGAAAATGCCTTTTCTTAGTTTTCACTTGTTCTTTGCAATTCACTTCCAGGCTGAAGTAAAATAAGATTAAAGAAAAAACAATCTCTCTTTACTGCTGCTGGTCAGGGATACTGAGGAGGAGGGGGTGGGGAAGAGGACTCTAACAGAGCTAGCAGTCAACAAGACTGATTTTAGTCCATATATATCCCCTTTAAAATTCCAGCTGACAGTCAGCCAGAACAACCCCCATACAGTCTGTCCTGTGTTATTACCATGAAGCCAATTGCTATATATGGCAACTGGATCAGACAGTTCTGTGAAAGGAGTATTCTGGGACAGCTCTGTATTGTAGCTTTACGCATCACATTGTTACTACAAACACCAAGGTCTCGTGCCTTCCCCTTCTCCCCCGCCCCCCGCCAATGAAAAACTGCCTATGTAGCCCAAGCAGCCCTTGGATGCAGCTACTACTTCAGACTGCAGTGCTCCACCTCTACTAATTTAAATAAGTTTCCAAAATGGATGTTTTAATACCCCATTCTACAAAAAAACCCCAAGAAGAAAGAACCCAACCCATGAACTAACCAACCACTGAAGTGTTTGAGGGAAAGAAAAAATGGCTGCAGCAATGTGGGCAGGGGCTGCTGGGAAACGGAGTCCAGCCACCGGCCAGCTCTGTCATCTTGCCTACCCTTGATCTAGAAGCACCAAATCGCTTTGTATCTTTGATATTTCCCATTCAATTACTGAAGTTGGCCAAGTCCACTTAGTTTACAAAAACTTACAGGATCACAGACGGCAGTGACACTGCTGTACATATGAACCTAAGTAAAGTAGAACCAAAACATTAATAAAATTATATATATTTGAAAATGAATTTCTAATACATGAATGGCACACTGAAGGCAGAGATACTATACTGTCTAAACAGTATTCCTCACTCTACTCCCTCTTCCTATATTGGCTATGTTTCTGGACACTCTCAAGTTAATTAAATGCGATGTGACTTTATTTATGTCAAATGAATATTAAGTGTATAGCTCATTTTTCATGCATCATCATTTGAAAGTGTTACCCACAGAACCCATTCAGCTGTATGAATGAAGCCACTCAAACAAGTATCCTGTTCTAATGTCAGTTATAAGTAGTACTTTTATTTCTTTGTGCACAATTTCTTAGGGGTATTGAGAAAGAAATGTCTAATTACTCCAAGCAGTCACACATGTTGGGAAAAATATTCAGAGCCTGGATTCTCAGTTGACCAAATACACAATACACAACTGCATGTAGTCAAATGCCCACGAAGACAACCTCATGTTTGCGTAACAAATGGTAACTCTGCACATCTTTTCACGTGCATTTTTGTGGGTACAATTTTGGGCTTGAGCTTGGAAAATTCAGACCATTCAGTGATGTATAGTGGGTTACTGCTGTAATCTCTGCAGCAGCCTGGGATCTGTGCTGGTTACGCTTGACGCTCTTATTCTGACAGACTTTCTGGTGACTTCAGCTATTCTTTTCACCAACTGTTTCTTAGCTGGTAAACCTGAAACTGCCTGTGTGGTTTATTGTCTAGACTTCAATTTACCCTGGATTGATCAGCTGTTTGCTGGTGTCATCTGCAAAATGATTCCAAAATATTCTGGATACATGTTAAGTCTATATGTTCCAGTATCAATTAATTCTGCTACAATAATTATTATTTCACAGCTGGTTGTTTAAATAAATATACATCATCACAATGAAACT